CTTTACCTTTAAAGGGATCCTGTAACCTTGTCTTAGATCCTTTAAAAAAATCCATGATTTAGCTCACGCTGCAATGATAATTATAAACCTTTAGGTCAGTCAGGAACTCCATGACTTTTACAAGCCGATCACCTGTCTGATTATCAAGATATTTATGATTGAAAATCGAAATCAAATCTTTGCATTTGCCGAACGGTTTTCATAACACTACAGTCTACTTCTTGACTATTTTGAAGCGCAATTTTGTTAGGGCTTCAATGTAACACCATATCACAGACACTGATAACTTGTAGGGCCGTGCATCTCAGATTTAACATTGTTAAATGATCCCTTTAAAGCAAATGAAAACTTAGGAAATAATAGGTACAGAGCAAAGAGGAAAGCAACTCATATGATATGTCATGGTATTGTGGCAATATGGGTTTCATTGATTAGGACTACAAAATTTTAGAGTTGTTTGGCTGTAATTGTACTTGCCGTCTCATGATACTCCTCGCATTGAGCCGCACCATGCTTCGCAAGCTATCTATAAATTACATATGTCAATGGATTTAATTTCCTTGCTCCTGACTGTGTCATTTATCAAATACACCTGCTTAGACCCTGACCCAAACCTATCTCTGGGTGCCCAGAGACCTATCTCGGCACCATTTTATTATAGTATACCAGAGATCACTTTTTATTGAAACCTATCTTGTACCATCTCCCGATTTTCCCAGTGTCTACACAGAACAAATTCTTTGTATAACTATCCCGAAAGACTTATACCGTTTCGGGATAGTTATAAGATGAAATTATGTGTGTGGACGCTTACTAACGATACGTCGTATAACGAAACGTCATATAACGAAAAGCGGTCTGGGCATCATTTCGAACTAGAACTCCATAAAGAATCACGGAATGTGTTGTGTGTGGAAGTAACTATTATAACTAGTCGAACTACAAGGGTATAACTGGGCAGTGCGCGAAAGGAGTCCTGACCTCTCATTTCCGCTTCCGTTTCATGACCGCAGTAGCAAACTGCGCACCTATACGACGTTTCGCTGTAGAGTTTCGGGATTACTTTCTTTTGTGTGTGGTTGCTCTGGAATTTATACAATGATTCTGTATACAACGTTTCTTGTGTGTGGACGCCCTGGAATTTATACGATGATTCTTTATTCAACGTTTCTTGATAGAGTTTTGGGATAATTTTGTGTGTGTGTGGACACACTGTTAGTCTTACAGTCTCTGGCGTCCCGAGGTGGTTTTGGATTTGGTGTAAATGGTAACCTACCCCAAATCTTCCTGGGTTTGAGTGTAGCATGTAGTCTCCAGGCACAAACCCTTGAAAGGTGTAACATATAACACAGCCATGATTATAACAGTGAGGGTGAGACTGTACAAAGTAGACAGCTTGTGCCATTTGACCTAATTAGAGACTTACGGTACAAGTTAGGCAATGCTCTATTGAATCTTGTTAACAGTGACACAGAGTCTCTGCCTCTGCGTACAGACTGGCATGCACATGTTGAGATAACATTACGTTGGGGTTCCTACAGCACTGCAAGTAGAAACTAGAAATGCAATCGTGTCACAACGATGTGCGTGCAATGACGCCATATGTTTCTACGTGTCAAACGAAAGAGCTTCTGTCGGACTATCCAGAGCAATTTGTACGAAGTCTGTAGCTTCTGTTATATTGGAGATAGGTATGGCGAAAGAAAGGCCTCAACAGTGACCTTGATGGGATGGTAGTGACTATGCCTACGAAGTTTGAAAGAAATTGGGATAGGGGAAAGGACGTAGCAAGGGCTCGCAAGCACTGCGTGCAAAAACCAAGGGGATATGGTGCATGTTCGTCATTGCAATAAAGATCTATCTGGGGGTCAAAAGCATGAACCCGATATGCCCCATAGACAATGCGTGTAATGCATGAGCGGAAAACGTACAGGATCTGTATTATGACCAGAGTTAAATTGTTTTTTCTCTCTCTCTTTATGTCTCTTTATGGGCCGTATTTGGTATCGTTAGAAAGAGAATTTCATGATTGTTATTGTAAATCACTCTCTTTTTTTCTATGATAATCCTATCGAAACACGTGATGTAAAATAGATTTATAGGACAAAATGGCGTCTTAAATGGCCCCATTGACCAATTTTAAAAATCTGGCCAAGAGGTGCCCTGCGTATTGGAACTCGGCATGTCACTGCAAATTTTCAAGGAAAAAAAAGGACGTTTAAGGGGCGAAAAGCAGTCTGAAAAAATGACGTTATAGCCGATACGTGTTAGATTCGGGCGGAAACTCGGCGGAATTCGTGTAGTGACCTTTGTTCAAATGCGATTTATTCACAATTTTCTGTGTGAACATATACTATACTTGGTATCATTCGAAAGTGCTCTTCATTGCGGTCAGTTTGACACCATTGTTATCTTCGCGCAATGTATTCCCAACATTAAACGCGCTATTACGTAATGCATAGTAAATTCATCATTTTTGGCGATAACTTTGCGCTGACATATTCGAATTTTATGAAACTTGGCAAACAGTTGTCACGTATAAGGATACATATATCCGCCAAGTTTCATTGATATAGGCATAAAGATTGCCATTTAGAGCAAGATGAAGTTATTTTGGAATTTTCTCGAAAATGGCAAATTTGGAGGGCATTTTTCTCAAATTTAGTCAGTGTTAGGGTACATAATTTTGTATATGGCTGGAAAGGGCATATCTTCAAGTATCTAAATCCAAAAAAGGGTACGGGTTTGCCAAGCCATTATGGAGATACGGCCACAGAAAGAAAGCCAATTCCCAGAACTTTAGAGGGCGCTATTTATGTTTTGCATAGTCATTGGAGCATGAAATTTGGCATGGCTATGTGCAATTATGAGATAAGGATAATGTGAGATTTAAACACGAAACGGAATTTATATGAGAAAGTTATGGCACTTTCAGATTTTTAGGGGTCCATTTTTCAAAAATTTGAGAGATTTTTGACGGAGTCAGTTTCAGATTTGAATTTTGAGTACGAAGATGGCATTTTGAAGGTCAAGTCATACGTCGCAGATGAAAGAACATCTCTTAGACTATCTAGAGGAATTTGTTAGAAGTTTGTAGGATCTAGGATAGTGGAGATGGGAAGGAAGAAAGAAAGGCCTTAAAATGGACCAGAAACTGACAAAATGGCGCCTGGACGGTTATGCATGAGTGATTTTTAAAATCGAAGAATGTAGTGACCTGGATGAGATGCTAGAGACTATGCCTAAGAAATTTGAAAGGAAAAGGACTTGAGAAAAGCACTTAACTAGGAATCACAAGCACTATGTGCAAAACGAATGGGATTTTTGGACGATAAGGAAAACAAGGAGGAGAATATTAATGGGGCAGAATGTGAATGAAAACAAGGCAATGACGAAGGTCGTCATTGCAAACAGCATGTAAACCTGCCTCGGGTAGCTCTTGGCAAGGCAGTGCAACAAGGGGGACCATTTTTGGGCCTGTCTCTGGTAAAGATGAAGTTGAGTTCTGGTCATGCGATAGCAATGTGAAAGAAACGGTGTGGAATCGACCAGAAAAGGTTGATCATCTAACATATAAGAATTTGTGTGTATTGCAAGGTAAAAAAAATGGCTTAAAAGTCCTACCCTGGAGTTTTACGATGTTACATGACATGTTTAGAATATGAAGGCATTTGAAGAGCAATGCTTTTCAGGGAACATGTCTTATCTGATGTTCTTCCACACTTGCATAATAAGAATGATAACGCTCACAAATTAGTTTTCACCTCTTCCCAGAACTCAACCTTCTCTTAAGTCTTGGGTAACAGGTGTCATAGGCTCACTGTAGCAAGCATTTTGGTGCATTCTGCTCAGTGAAGCAGTACCATCTTATCCCAAAATAAAACAAATACAGAAAATCACAAAATTATTTTTCCCGCCAAAATATAGCATTTACCCTATGATTACATTTGATTATTAATGTCATTTCTGATTTGTTCCCGTCACATGTATATTTTCGTCTTACTTCTAATCATCAGGTCTGGTGGTCATGTAATACCTGACCTTCTGTGAAAAAATGCCCCTTTCATCACAAAATATCAGGGTTAATGTTTGTGTAATAAACCCCTCTACAAATGGTCTGGTCCAGTTTATGCGTAATTTTGTGAATACCCAAAGCAAGTCTTTGAAATGTTGCGTCCTTTAGCGACCACTCAACTGGACGTGATGACCCGATGATTTGAAGTCAGCCATATTTTCTGTGCAGCTGAATATATGTATAGAAGTTGCTTTTATTATTACAAACAAAAGTTACTAGGTGAAGTGATATATTAAGAAGTCATCCTTTATGTTAAAAATTATTTTTAATCTTGCCTCCCTCTGCATAACAACAATGTGTGTATATATTTGTAAGTGTCTGTCAGTTATTTGATTTATAGCCTATATGTTTTCTGGTTGTCCATCTCGTACATCCTTATGACTGTACGTCCCGTTCTCGTGATTGCATTATCTCAAGAACCGATTGATGGATTTCTGCCAAACTTAGGTCATGTATGTATCGTACAGAACCAATGAACTGAATAGATTTTGGAGTCACAAGGTCAAAGGTCACAGGGCTCATTATCTATGCAAAAATAGCTTGTGATCGCATTATTGTGAGAACCAATAGACAGATTACTACCAAACTCAAGACATGTATAGTATCTTGCAGAGCCAATGGACTGATTAGATTTTAGGGTCATCAGGTCAAAGGTCATGGGGCTCATTATGTATGCCTTTAAATAGCTTGTGAATGCATTATCATTAAAACCGACACATGGATTACTATCAAACTTGAATTTTAAAAATTGCTTCCGTTTTGGTTTGTAAAATTGCTCTATGGGGGAGGCATCATTTTCGACTGCGCACAGTCGAAGTTCCATCTAGTTGTTTCATGATTTGACATGGTTGGTCTCTATACCTAAACATAACATAGCTTCTTCCATCTAGATGTAACAAGTCTTCTTTTCTCTTTTTATTTGTAGATTCCCATCTTCTGATTATTTGGGTGACTGGATGCTTTTTGATAACAAGGTAAGAGCACATAGAACTACATACATGTATATATATACTGTGATGACCCCATTCACTTATATGCTTCCTCTGTAGCTTGAGATGGTGTCTTCTTATGTCACAACCAATACAATAGTTTATGTCCTTCTTGTCTTTCATTAATTGTTGGAGGATTTCTTCTGTTTCCAGAACATTTTTGTTTGTCAAGTCTCTTCCCCCTCTTCTTTATTTTTTGTTTAGCTGTGTAGGGGCATTTCTAGGTATTACTGCACACATGATTGATTTGGGGCAGCCATCATACCTGCCAACCACTCCGATTTAGGCGGAGTTACTCCGCTTTTTTCATACCCACTCCGAATTCCGATTGCATGCCTCAAAACTCCGATTTTTTGTAATTTTAAAATATTTTTAAAACAAACGACTGTTGCATAAGACTAAAGCATAACACAGCACTGATAACCAGATCACGCCTTACGGGGAAACGATAAACATAAGTACTTTATATAGCGAATGCCGCCTTATCACATAGCCTCCGCACACAGCGCTGCATGTCGCACGCATTCACTCATAGGTTCACTGAATTTGACTACACTGGATAGACACTTTCGCGCACATGGTCCGTCCGCCGCCATCTTGTTTAATTCCAAAACAACACGGCCGCTACGTATGCTACGTGCGTTCGTGCCTTTTGAGGGGAGCATGGGGGTAGATGATCGTGCGCATGGCGCCCGCAATATAGTAGCGAAGACTTCGGTGATTCAGCGGGCGCATTGCAAGTGCAGTGCGGTATACGATGTGTTGTTGTTCATGAACGCCGGGCCTAGCGGCCTGGGCTGTATGGTGTGTCTGTGGTACTGGTGAGTGTACGTGTGCGTGTGTAGAATACGAGCTCTGCCATTTGACTGTGGATTCGAATTTGCCATTCGACGCTTGAACAAGGTGTTTTCTTCCTGAATATTATCATGGATTCACTCAAAAGAGCGAGTACCCGAGAAGGAGATCCTTTGACTGGAAACAGATTTTTAAAAACGTTTTTATGCACATCTTTATTTTGGACTTGAATATGGTAGGTTCGAAATTCAGTAAGAGTGATTGGGTGTTTGTGTACGTTTTGCGCGAAAATTATGCTGCGGTGTCTTGCGTTACGGAAAGACCCCCATTTGTTACGGACAAATATGGTAAATGTTACTGACAGCCATCCTATAGGGTTGGCATCTCTGCCCCCCCCCCCAATCTACGGGCTACTACCCCAATCCTTCGGTGGTTCGCGACCTCGTAGTCCATCCAGAAAAATTTACTCCTAATTTCTCTTGTCTCAGGTTGGCAGGTATGAGCCATGTGTTTGATTGTATTATAGCAATGATGTCAATTATGCTACAGACAGAAAATCTAAATTTTTAATAAAAGCTTGCTGTCCGTTGGAACATTAATGCCACAATTTGAATATTCACTAAGGCTGCAACGATTTCTCGAATACTCGAGTACTCGCACTGTTGACAACTACTCGAATACACGGTTGCCATTTTTTTCTTCTCCACATGGCACTGTGCCGGCGGGCCGAAGCTCTCCCGTGCCCGGAGAAGCACCGGCAGGGTACCGTGAGTAAAATGTCCAGATTTCTGTTTGAACTTGGAGGACAATTTGTCTGTCATCTTTAGTTTTAAAAACAACATTGTTACTATTATTTGTGAGAAGTTCACAAGCACAAATCAACGCCTTCAATTGCAACTCGCAGTAAAATAGCATGGTTTTCGTAGCCGTATTATGCTTCCTACAACATCGGCAAAAAAAAAAAGTGATTACAAAAATGATTTTAAAAAAAATATTAATTTTTTTTTTTTTTTAAATTTTTTTTTTAGTCTCGATAAATTATGCCCTTCACAAAGCACTTTGCCGGCCGAAGCTCTCCCGTGTCTTCAGCTCACTCACCTGTATCATGCAGCTCACTTACACGGGGGCAGATTTGGTATCCTACCACGATGTGCGGTGTAATATGGAATTGCGATTTTAACCTGCGCAGTTGCGTTGTGTGGCGTGGCAGCTAGCTTCGTAAGAAACGATCATTCACGTCCCTTCTTTTACTTTTTGGCAATATGGTACAGATTTAGATCTAAATGAAATCTACCGGCAGATTTTATTAGAAAAATAAGTTATGCAGTTTATTTTCGTCTTCATATCAACAATGCAACATAAAATTGTCGGTAAGTTGTGTGGTGTTATTCTAGAAATGTCCTGTACCATTGTATAGTCATTGTAGTCCCATATGTTCAAATGGACGTGCTGTTTTGACTGCTGGATTTTGTTGTTGTTGTGCAAAGGTCTAACTTAGTTCACAAGCACTTCAACTAGCCTCGTAATAAAATGAAAGTATTTCCGAACTCTGACATAAGACGGGATCTGATCTGGTTTTAACAAAAAAACAAAAAAAAAGCAAAAAGAATTTCCTGATTTTTTTTTCTTCCTGATTTTTTTTTTTTTTGATTTTAAATTTATTTAATTTTTTTTTTTTTTTTTTTGTCTTAAAAATAGGGGTGCGCCTTTTACACAGGTGCGCCTTATACACAGAGATTTACGGTAGTACTAAATTTGAAAAAATGTTTGATGCACTATTCCTAATACAATCCCCATATAAAGTTACACTGAAATTTTGCCGGTAATTTAATAAATGTGAAACTGGTGCCTGGCCTCCGAAATTCCCCACAGTGGAAGAGCGACTTGGAGCATGGAACTTCAAAGCCATGTGGAAGCTTACGCATCCCATTTTTACACTTTAGAACTCACGCATGCGTTTGAATAAATTACGAGAGTTTGGACTCCTTCTCTATCACCTCCCTGGTGCTACCAAACACTTCAAGCACTGTTGAACATAATTTCTTAACATTGTTCAGTAAGTAATATGTCACGATTTGGTGCATCTACTACAATTTCTCATTTTTAATTGAGGGCTGAACTGTGGCATCATGTGACATTATGTGGCTCCAGTAGATATCCAGATTCCAGTTTAACCTCTGACAAGCTTCAAAATAAAATTCCTACAAATTTTCTGAACAGCAGGATCATTAACGCTCTGCGTAGAAAATAAGGGTGAAGATGACACAACTCGCATCAAATCCCTACTCTGTCAGTGGTGTATGTCATAGGAAAATTGCAATTTGCTTGGATGGAAATGCAACACTATAATACATTATAGAGTTATCCTGTCCCAAAGCCTTTCTGTCATTGACAAGATATCCTTTGTTTATTTCTAACTTCCTTTAATGGCAACTAAGGCACAATGCTAAAGTTTAAAGGGAAATTTCACCCTGATAGTAATTTGGTTAGGAAGGGTAATCCAACCTTCGCAATAGTCCATTGGTGTCGAAGCAGAAAATAATAATTGGAAAAACAGAATGGTGAAAGTTTGAAAGATATCTTAACAATAACAATTTTAAGAAATGTTTTAATATAGGGTCTCTAAATCTGTGTAAATTTTAAATGTGCAATTCTGTTTTTCTCCTAGGTGACTTTTCCTTGGGGCAATATTCAAGATATAATATGGATAGCATATTATTATAGTTCCTCCAAAAGGAAATTATCTCCCTGAGTAATACTGAGTAGAATAAAATACTGCTCAAGTACATTTTTCGTTAATTTGAGACTTGGAACAAAGGTGAGAAATGTCCTCCACTTACACGTCAACTAAAATGACATTACCATTAAGGACATATTACCAAATTATTCCATCTTTCGAAATCCATAAAGCTCTTATTCTTTGCCCGATTTTGTTCAAACATAAATTGGCAACTCTGTGACGTACATGTACCTTCAAACATATCTCCCAGTTGCTTTGTACTGAAACTTTTATGAATTTTATTTTTCTTGGTTGTTGATGAAGAAATTTTATGAAGGAGTTGTGTAAAAATGCTTATGCAATAGTTGTATCTTTAATGTATGTATTCAAATGAAATGTCTTTAGAGCTTTATGTACCAGTAATACATGGACAGACCATAGACAGAAGCAAATTACCAAACCTTGAATGTAAATTAGACCCGAGTTGGTACGGTTGGTCATACCAAATCCCGACCGTCGCTGTTGGGTCCCGGTTTTGTTTTTTGGAAACCGATGCTCCGATAAAAATAATTAAATATGTAAGAAATTGCGGTATTGCACACAACTAAAATGTATCCATCTTAAAACTCTTTATTTAATTTTTACCAATCATATTCTAGCTCATCCTGAATCGATTCGAACTGCCGATATAAATATGGGTTGCAAAGCAGTTCGCGGCATGGGGTTGTTGTTGCCAGCAAAGCTTACAGTACTAGCCGGGTCTCGGCAGGATGAATTAATCAGGTTAAAAAAATATTAATGTTAGAATGATAAAACAGCTTTCTAAAAAATTCTTCTTTACAACCTACCGATCGAGTAATTTTTAAAACGCAAAATAATTATTTTTCTTTTATTTCAAACTCTGCATGCTTCTTTTAAAAGCTGAAAATTACTCGCTACGCCTGTACAGTGCCAAATTATATCACATGACCATAAAAATTTGTTCATATCAATAGTAAAATAGATTCATTGTATTTGGACCATAGCATTTTCCTGCAATTTTATCATACAAATAATGCACTGTTGCGAGTGTATAAGCGCAAGGCCAGTGCACAAAGTTTAGTCAGTTCACATACATGTAGGTGATAACGCATGCGCCCGCAGGGCAAGTGCGTTATCGCACTGACTAAACTGAGTGCACTGGAACTGCGCTAACACACGAGCGAAACAGTGCATTATTTGTTTTATAAGACGGGTCGGCAATACTTTCTTACAATATAGTCTAGATCTAGAGTATAGATAGATATCAGATCTAGATCTAGAATATTCTAGATCTAGATATTGATATTGAAAATTATGCACAAACTAAATTTGGCTGAATTACGCGGAAGCTATACCGGGGCGGGGGGGGGGGGGACCGTAAATCTCCGTGTATAAGGCGCACTTTTTTGCCGCCGAAAAAATTTGAAAGTCGGGGGTGCGTCTTATACACAGGTACAGAAAAAAAAGTTTTTTTTTTTGTTGTTTTTTTGTTGTTGTTGTTTTGTTTCGATTTATGGCGCTATGCCTGGCAATGTCTCCTAGCTCAGTAATTAGTGTGTTGACACACCACTCGGAAACTACAACACTCAAAATTGTCTGTCATCTTGGTTTGAAAGTAATCTTTCTAATATATCTCAATATGTAGTTTATAATAATAATTCCTCAATTTTTTTTCTATAAGAAATGGTGTACCACAAGGTTCTATCCTAGGTACTCCATTGTCAGAAATTTAGAGGATGCTATTCATAACATGCATGACTATTGATGTTTGACATAGAACACAGTGCTTCTGCTAGGTGATGTGATGAGGCTGGTGTGGGACACTTGGTATCATGAAGCCTTAGACTATTATTTTTATTTATGACAAGTTCACAACTTCAACTGCACCTCGATGTAAAATGAAGGTCCTTCCCCGCGTGGGTTTTCGGCAACAAAACAACAAAAACAACAAAACAAAAACAATTTTTTTTTTTCTTCTTTTTTTTCTTCTTTCTCCTCCCCAAAATAGGGGTGCGCCTTATACACAGGTGTGCCTTATACATGGAGAGTTAGGGTATTGAGCGTGTGTCATCAATTTTTGATGGGAGATGTTTTGCACGATGGGAAGAACTAATACACGCCCACGTGATGTCAATTGACCAATCGATTGCTTACATTCTAGAACCCGTCTTATAATCTAATTTAACCCTAAAAAGGTCGGGCTATTTGAGGTCTTAATACGGCCGGGGTTTCAGGGAGGGGAGAGGGGATCTTTGTCCCTCCTTCGAACATAAGGATGACTCAAAATCGCTGCCACTGCCAGGGGATACCTTCGCATTGCTCTGCAATACAGATTGCGATATTTCTAGTTTTCATGGAAAAAGGTTGGGAAATTCAAAAATGGTTGGGAGAATTTACTGTTAATCACTGTTAGAGGGTGTCGACCAGTGATGTCTTCTTAGAAAACCATTAATATCTTTTGTGGTTTGAGAATTTTTCAAGGATTTTTTGCATGTTAGACGGCTAGAACAGTAGAAGGAAGATGATAAGTAACATTTAATACCAAATTCACACAATTTTTTAACCAACCTTCAACAATATTACTGAGTCACTGGGCTACGTAGGATTTTACATTTTAAAAGATCTGTTGTACGTACTGAAGGTGTATACCGCTTTTATAATATACATCATGCACATCGATACATTATACAGAGAAAATTGAATTATAATGAGTTATTTGTAGTCACAAGAAAAGTGTAAGGACGTCTCATTTTGTCTTCCCTGAAAATTTCTCAATTACGGTAATGTTTGTGTTTCATTCAAACTGAACTGAAATACTCCTGCCAAACATAGATTGAGAAGTACGGTTTGTGTAGACAAATTTCCATTTGATGCGAAGGAATGGTGTAATACCAGCATGTAAGGATATTATTGCATTGCTCTCTAGATATAAGAATAACAATCAATAGTAGAAAAGCACTCTTGCTTGGTCAGTCTAAGAGTAATGGAATATTGCCTTAACATTTGATCTATTTATCAAGTAATTCTGATGGGACAGTTAGTGAAACTTTATTTAAAGCAACCTGTAATGCAAAGATCTATTTCATAAGGCACTAGTTGGTAGACCAATTTCTAATATAATTGCTTCCTGTTAAAAGATAAAAATTGTACATTTTATGCCTCTACCACTGAAGTTGGTGCTGGAGTCATTATGTTTTTGGGTAGTCCAAAAGTCTGTCCGTCCA